GCACCTCTGGAAAGATGGCAAAACCCTTAGCAAAACATATGTAGATCTCATGGGCATATCATGCATACAATAATCATGGCAAAAAATGACAAATATCTAAATGGAGCAACAGATCTAATTATTAACTCAAGTAGCACTCTTCTAACAGCATTTCGGGCATCAAGATGAACTCAAATGAAAATGATGCAATGAGATGGAATGATGTACTCTCTGAGACAAACATTTTGATATGCTAAATGCGCAAAAAGGAATTATGGATGCAAAGTTATGATGCGATGAACATGAGCATATGGATCTGGGAATTTCGGGGACTTAGACGAATTTTACCCTCGTAGAAAACAGATCTAGGGTTGACTTGCACGTGGCTCGAGGTTCACCGGGATCCTTGCCGGAATTGACGGGGAAGATGACCGGAGATGTGGCTCCGGCGAGCTGGGAGGCCGTCCGGTCGCCGGGGCGGGGAGATCCGGGGACGGGGATCCTGGATCCGGCGTCGGAGGCGAGCGGGGTGGCCATGGCAGAGGCAGTGGGCGCGCTCCAGAGGTCGGCGGTGGTGATGGGCGGCAGCTCCGGCGATGAAGGTCGCCAGCGATGGCGACGGAGTACGGCGGCACTCGGCAAGCAGATGAGGAGGCGCGGCGAAGGACTCGGGTGCGGGGTTCGCAGGCGCGCTGACGGGCGGCTCGGGGAGATCCGGCAGCCGAAGACGATGAACTCTGGTCGCCGGCGATGGGGCTGACGGCGGCCGGAACAGGCGAGACAACGGTGGAGAACACGCGGTCGGACGGCACGGGGCGCGGGTGCACGCGGGCCGGGCGGCGGCGCACACGGGCTCGCGCGGGCCCCGGATGGGCTCCGCGGGCCGCGGCGGCGGTGGGAGGAGAGAGAGGGCGGCGGGAGGTGAGGTGGTGCGCTCCGGTTGGTTGGCGGCGGCGGCGGGATGACGTGGCGCGACGCCACTGGCCGGAGCGAGGTGGAGGGCGGACATGTCCGGCTTCGCCCGGACGTGTCCGGCGGCGCGGTGGAGAAGAGGCTATGGTTTCGTCCGCGAAAATGAATGGGGTGCACATATTTATAGGTAGAGGGAGCTAGGAGAGTCCAAATAAGGTGCGGTTTTCGGCCATGTGATCGTGATCGAACGACCGAGATGATGGAGGAGGTTTAAGTGGGTTTTGGGCCACTTTGGAGGGGTGTTGGGCTGCAACACACACGAGGCCTTTTCGGTCCCTCGGTTAACCGTTGGAGTATCAAACGAAGTCCAAATGGTACGAAACTTGACAGGCGGTCTACCGGTAGTAAACCAAGGCCGCTTGGGAAGTTTCGGTCCAATCCGGAAATGTTTAATACCCGCACACGAAAGAAAGGTAGAAATGACCACTGGAAGAGAACGAAGCGCCGGAATGCAAAACGGACAACGGGAAAAATGTTCGGATCCATGGACGAACATGTATGCAAATGAAATGCACATGAAGACATGATATGTAATACATGACACGCAAGCGATGACAACACAACAACAACGAATAACTGGACGACACCTGGCACATCGGTCTTGGGGCGTTACACAAAGCCACTCACAAGTCAATACGCGACCCACGTGAGGGCTCGCACCAAAAGGACGGCGCAACCAGATCCATCTATGGACCACGCAAGTGTGCCCCAGCTTACAATGTAACACAACAAACATCCGAACAACGCGGTACACCCAGATACAGGGGTGCAGCACACCCCCTATGTTTCACCAATGAGGTGATGGACCATGAATTTTCAGAGGGATTCAAACCCGTGAACATAGAGGCATACGACGGAACAACAGACCCTGGGGTCTGGATTGAGGACTATATCCTCCATATCCATATGGCTCGAGGAGATGATCTCCACGCCATCAAGTACTTACCCCTCAAGTTCAAAGGGCCAGCCCGCCACTGGCTTAAAGGCCCCCCGAAAACTTCATTGGAAATTGGGAAGAGCTTGAAGACGTTTTTCGGGCAAATTTCCAAGGAACTTATGTCCGGCCTCCGGACGCGGATGATTTGAGCCATATAACTCAACAATCCGGAGAGTCAGTCCGAAAACTTTGGAACAGGTTTCTTACTAAAAAGAACCAAATTGTCGATTGTCCGGACGCCGAAGCATTGGCACCTTTTAAACATAGCATCCGTGACGAATGGCTCGCCAGACACCTCGGCCAAGAAAAGCCGAGAACGATGGCAGCATTAACAAGCCTCATGACCCGCTTTTGCGCGGATGAGGACAGCTGGTTTTCCGATCTAATTTTGATCGGTTTGCGTCACCTACCACCTCCTTTGACCCCGTATGCATCTACTTCAACACCGACGCGATCGGCCGGCTTCTTCATCGACCCGATGGCCTCGCCCGTCGTCTGCGCGTCTACCCGCCGGTCGCCCCGACCCGGCGGCCACGCGTCATGCGGCGGCCCTTCCCCGCCGTCGTTCGCGCGCCGGCCAGCCCTTCGATCTACGCCGACCGTCACCGCCCTGCTCCGACCGGGACTCTTGCATCACCCCGACCCGGCGGCCTCGCGCCATGCGGCGGCCAATCATAGCCGCCCTGCCGCCCGCCGTGGCCGGCTTCATCTCGGACTCTGCCGCCACCCCATCTCCATCGAGCGGCGTCCCCGACCTCGCACACGATTGGATTGATCACCCACCCGCCGTCGCGATCCGCCTCATCTACGCCGTGCGACCGAGCTGGCCCGTCGGTTGCGCGCGCCTCCGCAGGCCTCGTGAAGATTGTCCCGAGTTCAGTGCGCCCCTCTATCGATCGAGCAATAGGCTGCCGCTGCGTCATCCCATCAGGCCGCATCGCCGCCGCCCCGTGCTTCTTCTCCCGGCTGCACCGACCCGCATCATCGCTGCGTCGCTCCTTCGGGTCGTAGTGCCGCGGCCCACGGTCCAGCGCCGCCCATGGGTCGTCCACTCCATGCCGTCGCCGTGGCTGCATCGACCCACGCGCCGCTGCGTCGCCCCGTCAAGCCGTAGCGAGCGTGGCACGCGGTCCACGCCGCCGTCCCGAGGCCGTCCCCGCGGTTGCACAGACCTGCGTTCCGCCGCTGCATCGCCCCTTTGGGCTGTAGCGCCGCGACCCGCGGTCCCTTTGACCGCCCCGAGGTCTTCCTTCGTCGCCCTGACCTGCCCGCCGCCGCTGCGTCGCCCCTTCGGGTCGTAGCGTCGCGGCCCGCGGTCCACTCCGCCGTCACCGCGCGTCGACCTCCCGTAGTATGCGCCGCGACGTCTTCCTTGGCGCGGGAACGCCACCGTCCGCGTCGGTGTTCGTCACGCTGTCAAGGTTCTTCGCCTACTTCGAGCATCGCCTCCGCGCTTCTAACCTAGTGGCCGCCGCCGCTACCCCCGTAGCCGCCACAGCCGCCCGTCCACCCCCTTCGTTTTCGTCCAGCACCAGCCCGCCGCCAGCGTCGCCGTCATCTACCCTGACCGCTTCATCTACTCCGACAACCGCGGGCGACATTGGCCTCACGCCGATTGGCGCGGCAACCGTCGTCGAGTCCTTCTCTGCTGGCCTCTCCGACTTCTTCGACATGGCGTACAACTCGTGCAGGTCCCAATCTACGCATGCCCGGTGCTGGCAACACCGATGCGTGCCTTCGTCCACGACATGTCCCCGGGCCTGGCAAGCCTGGTGCGGCGCTTCGTCAACTTCGTATTCGTTCGTCTACGCATGCCCGGTGCTGGCAACACTGGTGCGTGCCTTCGTCTACGATGTGTCCCCAGGTTTGGCAAACCTGCCGCGACGCGTCGTCAACAACATCTCCTTACCGGCGCACCACTACTTCGACACCACTGCGCCCATGCTAACTCGACGCCCCTTGCGCCCGCGGCTCCACGGTGACTTTCTCGACACCGGCCACCCCAACTCGACATCGACCACGACATTCGCACGGCTACCTCGACCACGGCTCCACCACCCACGCTCTCGGCTACATCGACAAACGGCACAAAGGGCTACTGCCTGCTTGAGCAACCTCGTTGGTTTCCACTCCAGCCACGACTCCGCGATGCATCGACCGTTACGACTGTGAGGGGTGTGTCCGCCGGCTTGCCTTCGGATTCTTCTCCAGTCTCACCGTCTACGTCGCTATCGTTGTGACTACGGGGGGATGTTGAGTATAATGTTTATTAGGAAATATGAGATAGAATATGATTTGTTCCGGCTTGTCTTGTACTCCAAATAGATGATTGTACTCCTATATATATGTCCACGAGGCTCAAGCAATACAACGAACGATTCCACCCATCCCTCTCTTCCTTCTAACAGTTTTGATAGAGCATGGATTGGTTAATTTTTGCTTTCTTTTGCTTGTAACTGTATGTAAATATTTTCTTTAATTTAATATACACAGTAGAATAATTGTTCTATGGGTTTCGGTTCAAAAGACATACGAGGGAGAGTACTGAGAGAAGATGAACTTCTCCTTTATATTGCGAAGGTCGAGCAGTTTTGTAGGGCGTCTTAGTAAGCTGGAGTTCGGTTTTTTTACCAACTCTTTCATTATCTGGATTTTCTTGGAAATTTGGGATCTATGTAACGGGCGGGTTCAACGAAAACCAGTAAATTCATTTTTTGCCAATACACGAGATTGCATGTCATTTCATTGATAAAAAAGGTAGAAGTATAAGGACGCGGGCCGTACACAGCGTACGCTACTAGGCGCAGTTACAGCCGCATGTGAGCAGAAGAGAAAAGAGGTTGCCCAGCCCCAGATAACAAAGGGTCAGGTTACACAGATTAAAAAAAGGTCAGGTACACAGCGATAATCATGCATCATGTTTACTCCGTCAAAGGTCCCATCTTAGCCTTAATCTCCCAAAATCACCATGCTACTTTGGAGTAGCACTTATGCAATCAGTAGCCAAATGTACTGAAGGCAAGTTCAGATCAGAAGCGAGAGAAAGTCCTTGGCCGAGTGCCATCGTCTTCAGATCACAAGTGTCGAGTCTAATTCACTGGGCTTGGCTGCCTCAATCAGTAGCCGGGTTCTGTCTCGGCCTCTTGGCTGGCTCTGACCTATCACCACATGTCGCCGGTGCCTCGGCTTTTGCCCGGTCAAGGGCACGTTGCTCCTCGACGGAGGTGATCGCAAAGCGGCACACTGGGCAGCGACGGTTAAAGCGAAGCCAGTCGAAGATGCAGCGCTGATGGAAGGAGTGGTAGCAGGGCATCCTCCTCAGCTTCTTTCCGCCTTCCAGGAAATCCTCAAGGCACACCCCGCAGGTTTGTTCCCTTGTCTCGCCGACTGACGGAATAAACAGATCTAACATGGCTGGCCCGGAGGCCCGGTCCCTATGTCTTCTTTCATATTCCATGCTTTCCCTCTCACGCAATTCTGCAGCCAGTTCCTGGCGCAGTTCTTCTCGATCTCTTGTCCTTTCCCTCAGAAACTCGTCAATTTGTTCCTGGCTCCACCGCCACCTTCTTCTCGTTTCAATCATAGCCTCATCTTCGAGACGATCTTGATCCACAGAATCCATGGCTAGACTTGTCTAGTTTAGTTCTCGACTTCAGGAGAGGGAGCAAATTCCACCAAGATGCTAGAAAAGCCGATATATATAGGTGTCTCCTGCCCAACTGTGATAGGATTCGAATATATCAAAAGCTTGAGGTGGGGCATGTGTCCGTCTTCCAGTGCAAATCGGATTGGATTACTAACATGCACGCGTGTTGGGAGGCTTTTTGCATATCCGCGTGCGATACAATTCGATCGGCCTGCAGGCTAATTCCAATCCGACTCTTTAACAGAGGGTATTGAATCCGTTGCATGTGCGTGAAGATCCACTTGATATCCTGAAATTTCCTGTCGATGAAAGACGGATGTAGATCCAATCCTGTAACAACCTGGACGAGAGGGGAATCTAGATCGTACGAAGGGAGAAGGTGATCCGCACACAGAAGCAGATCTTTCATTTTTGGACCATATATAAATAATACTCCGAAGGGAAATAGTACTATTATTAGACCAGACGTTCGATCTGGGCGTAACCCCCAGCGAACGAATCTTTTTAATCTGGTTTGATTTTTTCTTTTTCAGGATTTTGGAAGGTCTAATCGATCGAACGTTTTGGCTGTTAGCATTAAACGTGTTCACACTGATTACTTCATTCTGAACTTAACAGATCCACGCATATTCATTTCGGTTTTAAATTTTAAAAAGTCGTATCTTTCAAATCACGCGTCGAAATTCAGATTCGTTTTCACTGTTGGAACCATTGCAACGAGATCTTTAAAACTAGATCTCGCATGAGTATGTTTCGACGAAGTTTTTTTGATGCCAACTTTGGTGCTATATGGTGCAACTTTAATACTGTATTATGCAACTTTAGTACGTCATCGTGCAACTTTTTGTAAAACCAGTTTTTAGATCTGCATGATTCAACTTCGTATGAGATTGCAATCTAGCAACCATGACAACTTTAATGTTTAGTTGGCAGGACTATTGGCATACACATATGCTCATTTGGCGCGACAATGTAGTCTAGTTGCACACACATTGATATTTAGTTGGCAAGACTAGTTACACACACATGTACTCAGTAGGCGCGGCAATATAGTCTAGTTGCACACATATTGATGTTTAGTTGGTAGGATTATTGATACACATATGCTCATTTGGCGCGACAATGTAGTCTAGTTGCAGACACAATGATGTTTAGTTGACAGGACTATTGGCACACACATATGCTCAGTTGGCGTGACATTGTAGTCCAGTTGCACACACATTGATGTTTAGTTGGCAGGAAGACTAGTTCGTCGAAATATCCCCATGCGGGATCTATTTTTGAAGAACACGTTGCGAGGATTTCAACGATGAAAACGGATCTGAATTTCGACACGCGGTATAGAAGATATGGCTTTTATAATTTTAAAACCAAAAATTAATGCACTAGAGACGAACATCAGGACAGACATCCATCACGTGAGAAAAGACCATATAGAATGATTAATTAGCAATGTCTTTTTTAGTATTTTTAAATTACAGTAATTTTGCTCTTTTTAATATACGGCAATGACTAAACGTCTGACCAGGGGCCGGCCGCTGGCGAGCGACACCGAGCGCCCGGCCGCCGGCTAGACCGGTCCAAATTTAAAAGGAATATAAAACAGACATTGAGTAAAAAAACAGATTAAACAGAAACGCTTGCTATAAAAAATAAAGAACGAAGAACAAAGAGATATCCTACAAAAACCGGTGGCATGACAAAAAGTAATGACATTTTTGCCATGGCGAAATATTTATTGGTGGCATGGCAAAAGTAATGACATTTTTGCCACGGCGAAATATTTATTGGTGGCATGGCAAAAGTAATGACATTTTCGCCATGGAAAAAATTGTGTTGGTTACATGTCAAAAAAATTGGATTCGATACATTGCAAATGGGTGGTTGAGTTGGTTAGGTGGACAGTGGTATCCCCAACTCACCAGGGTTCAAATCCTGGTGCTCGCAATATTTCTGAATTTATTTCAGAATTTCCGGCGATGCGCTTTCAGTGGGAGGAGACGTTCCCGTCGATGACGAGGCGCCTACGGTGACTTCGTAAATCTCAAGATGATATGCCGGCTCAGTCTCTCGGAGGTGCTCATAGGGGTAGGGTGTGCGTGCGTGCGTTCATAGGGATGAGTCTGTACTGATGCTAAAAAAAATAGGTTTAAAAAGATTTTTGCCATGACAAAAAGCATTAACTAATTATGAATTGTAATGATATTTGTCATGTGCAAACATCTTTAAAATTTGCCATGGGGTGAAAACCTAAAGTAGCGCACAATTTGCCATGACAAATATCAACATGGATTGGTTGTATGTCAATACGAAGAATTGCTTAATAATTCTGATGAACTCTTGTAGACCATGGCAATACAAACATGTTTTGGATTTAACATAAAAAAAACCTTAAAGAACATGGCATATTTATTTGCCGTGGGAACAAAAACATGACAAGTTGTGATCACAAAAAACCAATTTGACATGGCAGAAATGCCGAGACATGAGATTTTGCCATTGGAAAAAAATGGAGACATGGCAAAGTTGATGGCATGGCAAAATTTAGGGATTCTTAGCAATTTTGACAAAATTGCTGCTAAATGTACGGGAGCAGAAAGGTACCGGAGGTTCTTGGCGGGTTCCGGCGCGAGTTGGTGGGGACTAATTTTTACCGAATTTAGTTGTCCAAATTATTAAAAAAAACTTCTCTTGATTAAATTTGTACCAAATTTAGTTGCCTTGCCAGAAACCACAAGCATGATTTCTCGAAAATGAATTTGCCATCTGAAAAAATGACTACAAGTAGTATATAGCATTGGAAAAAAACTCGTCAATAAGACTGTAACCTGGTGCACTTGCAGTCAGTCACCACCACCAATGGGGCATTCTGAAACAAAAATGCTCCAGTGCAGCTGTGGTTCCGATTGAGGTGTGCCCTATAGACTATAGTCTTACATATAAGTCAAACAAACTAACAAGGGTTCAGCAGCATCTCACTCCCTCAGATACAGCAGCAATTGAAACGCAGAAAGGTAATCAACCGGACAAGCCAATGATACACTCTGAACCCGAGAACAGCATACGAAGTATACAAATTGCGGGGCACGGCAGGGGGAGTGAACAGGGGCGCACCTGCCCACGACGTGAGGACGGAGGCGATGGAGGTGCCGACGGTGAAGACCATGCGGCACTGCAAAGGCGGCGGCGGCCTAGTGGGACAAGGCGCGGGCAGCGAGCCGCAGTGGGGTCGGCGTGGCTCGTGGTCGCCTTCGCCGTCGCCTGGGCACTCCCCTTCTCGCCTTCCACCTCTGGTCCTGCGCCTCCCCCGAGTATTTCCTCTTGCTTCACCGTCCGTTTTCCGCCCTGCTCAGTGCGGGAGATCGCGCCGCCCCGGCGGAGGAGGTCGCCCCGGCGGCGTCGGAGGAGCGTCCGCAAGGTCGAGGAGGAGCGGAGTGCGGAGCTGCGGGAGCAGAGTACGCCGGAGGGCGGGACGATACCGAAAGCAGGAGGAATGGCGGAGCTCGCGCGAGCCGGGGCAGGGTGCCTCACCGCAGGAAGAAGAAAAGTGAGGGGAAAGGAAGAGGAGTGGGGTGAGCGCTGTGAGGAAGAAGGTGTTAAAGTTAATTCTGTAATTAGGGGGGAAATCTCCATCTGCCCAACCGTCGTTGCGGTTTGTCCCGCAACCGACGCCTCCCTTCGATTTCCTGGAACCGACGCCTCCTCGAAAGATCGTCGTGTCTCTTCGGGACATATAAAAGGGGGCTTGTAACCATCGATCAAGGAATTCGATCATTCTGATTCAAAACACGTTATCAGCACGTAGAACAACCAGCGAGAGCAAAAGGCAACAGAGAAAAGAGAGGAAGCACTCGCCGCCAGTGAGATGACAGGCCTCGTCTCCTTCTTCCTCCGCCTGATCCGCGAGGATGGTCGCCGCTACCGCCTCATTGCCCTTCGCCGCCATGGAGTTGGTGGCCACCGCCGTTTCCGTCGTCGGATGCAAGCCATCCGTCGATTCGGCCGCAGCGCCGCTGGACATGGCGCTCCTGGCCGCCACCGCGCCGCTGGAAGTGGTGCTCCTGGCCGCCACCGCGCCGCTGGACGCGCCCCCCGCGGTACTCCCCTCGCCCCTGGACGCGCCCACGATGGTGCTCCGTGCGCCCGTGGCCAGGCGCCCATGGGGTTCGACCCCTGGCTAGTGGCCGGCCCGAGCGCCTCCATGGTGCACAGGGTTGCAGCCGCGCCTGCACCGCCCCCTGGATCTCCGCCTCCACCACCTCCTCCGCCGGCCGCGTGGCTCGCGCCGTCGACGCCAACGCCCGCCGCCGAGGTCGCCGGCCCGCCCGGATACTGCCCCGTGCCGATGCGCGCCGTCGTGAACGAGGAGGAGGCGCTCGCCTTCGTCTCCGCGCCGACCGGTGCCTCCGGAGTCGTCCGCCTTGGAGCAGACATGGAGGACGGTGCCGCCACCGCCACGCCTCAATAGGAGACGGCCGCGGGCTCGAGCAGCTGCACCGAGCAGCGCTTCGGCCGCCTATTCGGACGCGCCGTCGCAGCCCTCGACCGCCGTCCCGCCCGCCGCGCCGGCTCGTGGGCTCCGGCGAGCCTCGGCCTCGCCAGCGCCGCGCCTCCAAGAGTCCTCCTAGACCCTGTCGTCGTTGCTTCTTCTTCGGACGAGGAGAGCTCGGCGGGGCTGCGCCGGTAACCAATGGAGAAGAAGGGATGCGGCGGCGGCCACTCGTCCCCGCGGCGGCGCTGTGACCAGAGGTGGGGATCGAGCAGTGGTGCGGGAGGTCGGAGTATCCGACCCATATCCGTAACCGCTCTCCCCCCTCTGCTTTATACGATGCGGCGACGGATGGGCTGGCCAAAGGCCGTGCAAGCCTAGGCCCAGGTGCATACGGGTCCTCGTGGTGGCTACGATTTTTTTCTTTCTCTGTTTCATTGATCATTAGTACTAATTATTGTATTAGTGCAGTTTTAGACTATGTTTA